TTGTCGCGCTCTCCTGAACATTCACACTTATTGTCACTGCAAACCTATCTCCTCCTAGAGTTTTGAAGCTACAGCGATGAGACATATACCATTCGATTTGTAATGAAAAGATCTAGCGATTGTCGAGCCATTTTTTTCGGTTTCGTTTTAGTTTAGATTATATATTGCAAAATGGGGGGAGAAGGGGGGAAATTTCGAAAATTCGAAATTTTTCAGAAAAATCATCATAACAAGAGAACTAAGAAAAAATTGAAAAAGTGGCTCGGCAATCGCTAGATATTGTCTTTACAAATCGAATGATACGTTTCTCAATGTCGTAGCACGATATTTGTAGGAGATAGATTTTCTAAAGTGTCCCCTTTTTGGCCGTTTTCTATGAATTTCACGTTTTCTTTCATTTTTCAAAAAATTCACATGAACAAAATAGTCGTCCTTTTCGATTTTACATATGTGTACCATGCAATTTTGGAGATGATCCTTCCCTAAATGTAGAAAATAGATTTTAACCGTCATGCTCCCCTTAAGGCGCCTGAGTCTGTACTCACTGCAGAGGAGACGGGAGAGGTATGTCATTCTGTACACATGGAAGATATTAAACGGAATGGCGCGAAACTTCGAGAGCGAGACCTTCAGGATTGAAACACATCATAACGAGAGAAGGGGGAGACTGTGCCACATCCCCCCATTACGTAACAGATCTGCAGTCAGATTTCAATCGCTGCGGACAGGATCACTTTCCGTGGCAGGGCCGAGGCTGTTTAACGACCTACCAAAGGATCTAGGAAAGGGGGAGTTCACCATGGAGACCTCCAAGACACGACTGGACGTGTTCATGGCACAATCCCAGATCGACCTCCCCTGCAACACTACCAGCGACGAGAAGCAAGCAACAGCATCGTGCATCAGGTGGCCCAAATGAGGGCGGATGAACGATAATCAGAGGCGGCGATCCATCGTGGCCTGGGACTGCTACGTCCCAAACAAGTACCAAGGATGCCAAGGACAAAAATATGGACAGTGACGACAGGGATGCAATGTGCAAGATTTTTGAGAGTAATTTTTGATGATTATTAATGAGACGTAAGTTTACTCATATATTTTTTTTTGGACGGGCAGTTTATCTCTTCCTCGGGTTTAACATGCTATGCAGATTACTTGGTTCGGTTATCCGTCAGTTGCCCGTATAAGTAGTAATAAGTCATAAAAACAGCCATAAATACGATGGGATTCGAATTCTTAACGCAAAAATGTTCAGCCCTACTACTCATCGCTCAATTGAAACTAGTGAATCTGGAAGTGGATCGTGCATGCAGGCTTGCACGATGAAATCTACGAGAAGCTTTCTTTTCATCGAGTCCGTCAAAACAATATATAGCTTTATCAAAACCAATTAGCGATCAACCACAAATCGTTAATAAATCTAATTAACTAAATGTGTTTGGGAGTGCACTAAAATAACGTCGACAAGCGTTGACTGTCAAAATTCACTCAATTATAGTGCAGTTAAACGACGTTGGTGGTTAGACCGGTTATGCGTGATGCTGAAGATATTTGAGAACGATCATGAGTATTCAATAAAATAATTAAAAAACTTAAAAAAACACGTTTTTCTTGTGGACTAAAAAGTATAAAATAAATTATGGCTCGCCCCAAAAACGTGGGTCGGGCTGTACGTTCACCATCAAATTTCCTAAATTCATGACTTGCGTGCTTTTTGCTTTAATCATAAATCTGCCCGACACGCGATTTTTTTAGTAAAATAGTCATGCTTGCTAAATAGTCATGCTTGATAAGTAGCAATGCTTGCTAAGTAGTCATGCTTGCTAAGTAGTCATGCTTGTTAAGTAGTCATGCTTGTTAAGTAGTCATGCTTGCTAAGTAGTCATGCTTGTTAAGTAGTCATGCTTGCTAAATAGTCATGCTTGTTAAATAGTCATGCTTGATAAGTAGCAATGCTTGTTAAGTAGTCATGCTTGTTAAGTAGTCATGCTTGTTAAGTAGTCATGCTTGTTAAGTAGTCATGCTTGTTAAGTAGTCATGCTTGTTAAGTAGTAATGCTTGCTAAGTAGTCATGCTTGTTAAGTAGTCATGCTTGTTGAGTAGTAATGCTTGCAAAGTAGTCATGCTTGTTAATTAGTCATGCTTGTTAAGTAGTCATGCTTGTTAAATATTAATGCTTGTTAAGTAGTCATGCTTGTTAAGTAGTCCTGCTTGCTAAATAGTCATACTTGATAAGTAGTAATGCTTGCTAAATAGTCATGCTTGTTAAGTAGTCATGCTTGTTAAATAGTAATGCTTGCAAAGTAGTCATGCTTGTTAAGTAGTTATGCTTGTCAAGTAGTCATGCTTGTTAAGTAGTCATGCTTGCTAAGTAGTCATGCATGTTAAGTAGTCATGCTTGTTAAGTAGTCATGCTTGTTAAGTAGTCATGCTTGTTAAAGTAGTCATGCTTGTTAAGTAGTTATGCTTGTCAAGGAGTCATGATTGTTAAGTAGTCATGCTTGTTAAGTAGTCATGCTTGTTAAGTAGTCATGCTTGTTAAGTAGTAATGCTTGCAAAGTAGTCATGCTTGTTAAGTAGTCATGCTTGTTAAGTAGTCATGCTTTTTAAGTAGTCATGCTTGTTAAGTAGTCATGATTGTTAAGTAGTCATGCTACTACATTACTTGCTTACTACATTACTTACTTCTACATTACTTGCTTGTACATTACTTGCTTGCTAAGCTTAGTAGCTTAGCAAGCTTAAGTAACAAGCATTACTACTTAGCAAGCATTGGTGAAATTTGATGGTGAACGCACTGCGCGAACAACGTCATATCGGCAGATTTATGATTAAAGCAAAAAGCACGCAAGTCACGCATTTTGGAAATTTGATGGTGAACGTACAGCCCGACCCACGTTTTTTGGGGCGAGCCATAATTTATTTTCTACTTTTTAGTCCACAAGAAAAACGTGTTTTTTTAAAGTTTTTTAAGTATTTTATTTTCTCCTTTTTAGTCCGTTGCTACACATGAAAAACGTTGTTTTTAAAAAGTTTTTTATATTATATAGTTTATTTTAGTCCGTTGCTACATATGGAAAACGTTGTTTTTAAAAAATTTTTTATATTATATATTTTATTTTCTACTGTATCTAATGACTTAAGTAAGTATGACTAAAGCATTGAAATATAAAAGATCCAAAAAAGAAGCTGAAATGAAACTAAAATGATTAATTTGGCTGTGTTCAATACTGGGGCTGATGGTTCCGCATTCTCTGCATTTCACGGATGGCATCTTCATTGCAAGGTTTTCTTCCTGCTAATTTCGCGAGATCCAATTCTTCGATACGCAATCCTTCCAACGAGCGAACTCTGCTTAATGCGACGTAAGCCTGTCCATCCGCAAAGAGCTTGCTTCCAAGGTTCAACACAGCTTTGTCCACAGTACATCCTTGCATTTTGTGAACTGTGCACGCCCAGCACAAAATCAATGGGAGCTGTCGTCGTTCAACCTTTCCTTTATTTCTTACGGCATCAAACTGAACAGACTTTGGTTGAACTATTTTCTCACCATACGGGGGACCAAAATCGATTTTGACATCTGGAATGTCTTCCTCATACATTTGCGTACGTCGAGTGTTGTTGCCCCACTGTATTTCGACGATTTGACCTATCGCTCCATTTACGAGTCCTTCTTCAATACAAAGGTTATAACGCAGCATTACTCGAGCGCCGACAAATATTTCAACGTACTGCTGCAGGCCTCCAGTCTTGTCGGTATCTTTAGAAATCATGTCCTCAATTTTAGGNCTTCCGCGGACTCAACGGCCAGATTTCGTTGATGTCTTTCTCGTTGCTTCTCAAGGCGCGAATTCCGCCCTTCCGCGGACTCAACGGCCAGATTTCGTTGATGTCTTTCTCGTTGCTTCTCAAGGCGTAAATTCCGCTCATCAGCAGACTCAAAAGCTCGAACTTTTTGTTGACGCTCTTTTTGTTTTGATAATCTCTCAAGACGATGTTCCTCGCTTTCAATACTGGCTAGCTCCTGTCGACGTATTCTTTTAGCTTCTCTTTCTTCCTCGGTCTCAAGCGAACGATCTGCTTGGCGCCTCAAGCGAGCTTTTTCTCGTTGACGTTCTTTTTGTTGACGCGTTTTCGACATTGCTTGAAAGCTAAAAAAGATTTTTTGAATCACCTTAATTGGATGCGTTCTTACCACCTTCCTCCCAGACTAAATGGCTCACTTGGCACTATTAAATAATCTTAAAGTCAGTATCTTATTTACTTGTAATTTGAATTTGCTTCTATACAAAATATTCCATAGATTTGCAAATTTCCTTATTATCACTATTATCGGTTTGATTTTGATGCTTTCTCTAATCACAATCCATTAAATCACACTTATTCTTCTCACTTCTAACTAAGTTTCACTACAAACTTCTCACTAGATTCCGAATTGACTTTTCCGGCTAGAAATTGCTCACGGAACGGCTCAGCTGCTGCGAATTGATTCGAATGAATAGATTCCACGTCTCACCTTTGTCTTTTCGGCGAATAATTTGGCTCTGCGATTCGTTGATTCGAGTGGCTCTGCGTTGATGGAACCCTAATTATATAGTTTATATTCCACTTTATCTAATGCGTTGAACAAGTATGACTTGACGTACGTATCGATGATACGCAGCTTCAGCGCCTGCTCGGCTATACCGTCAGCGCCCGCACGCCATACTATATATATATATACTTTACTCAATTAAGCTAATTTAGGTCTCTAATTGCTAGTTTTTATGATTGTATCCGAAATTGTTAGGCGAAAATAGCCTGCATGCCGAATTTCAGATCTCTAGAGCAATCAGAAGTGGGCTAATTTTCGTTGTCAATTTTAACAACAAACAAACAAACAAACAAACAAACGCGAAGCTAAGCTAAGAAAAACGTTTTAAAACTGGGACATTCTGGCAAATTTATCACGAAAACACACTTGTTATAAATGAAGTGATTAATCCATAGAAATTAGATACCTACGATTGGGAATATATCTTTCGATAACTAGGCAGGAAAATGAGCAAAGACTCACTGTTGTCCCTGACAGCGTGAAAATTGAGTGAATCAACTTCAGCGATGGTTTTCTCCAAGTCCAGAGCCTTGCCTGGGGCGTCGGAGTCTTTCTCCATATGGTACTGAACACCGGCCTCTGCAAGACAAGAACAATGAAACTTCATTACGAGCAGCAGATAAAACTTCAATAATTATTTCTCACAGCATAAATTAAATTATTCAAGGTATGTGAACTGGAATAAGAAATGAAAAGTGTAAAAATCTTAAAAAAATCTATTTATTTTGATTTTTAAGAGCATGCATATGATAATGGGCAAGAAATGTATTATCCATTCAAGGAAATTTCAAGATTTTATTCGCTTATTCGCGGTACCTAAACGCCAGCATCTTTTACTGAACTTAATGATTCCAATAAAGCTTGAGAAACTCCCTACAATAAAAACTTATATTGGCGTAAAAAAATCAAAATGTGTTGTATTTTGGCCATGATATATGGTCTGCCAGAAGCCAATGCAGTCTAGCAGCAGTTTAGCACAGAATTTCTCTGCAAGAACGCTGCCTTAACCGAGTGTAACCAATACATAACGCAGGCGTTGCGGGTAGGGCTGATGAGCGTCAAAAATCGGTGGCAGTTGGTCAAAAAGTAGCACTAAAAGTACTGGCTTTCTGTGGCCAGTAACGCCTGTACACGAGACTAATAGAATGCTTAATAGTGGCAGTTGATATTTTAAAGTTCAACTGGCCGCCAGTACTTGTTGCCACAGAACAAAAATACGAAAAGCTTAATGCTAGTCTCACCAATAATTTAGGCCGATCCATGATCCCTTTGTTTATAAATCCTACCTAAAACTATTAACCCATTAGGATAACCATTTTCACTGCTACACTCACCAATAACTTTGGCCATCTCCCTGCGCTTGGCAATGGTTCGTTGTAATACCTCTCTCAACGTGATGTTCTTGCTTTCACATTCAATGAGACTAAACACCCCTCCTGAGATGTGTCTGTAAGATAAATGTCATCATCATTTGATTTAGTTTTACTGTTATTCAATTTATTATTTTCATAAAATTACAGAATTCCATTAGTAGTCCATCAAATCTGTGAAGGTTAAAAAATTTGTTTCAACTGTTCAAAAAGTAATGTCAAAGTAATCTCTTCACAAGCCATGGTTATACTACAATTCCTTATACTTAAATGGTGATGTATTTACTGAAAAAAACAGTAAATATATTATAGCCATGAAAAAAATTGCTGACCACAAAATGATTATGTTCTTTGAAACTAAAGCATTGAAATATCTTGCAACTATTGAAGTTGGATTGGGGGTCTGTCGCTGCTCGAGTGTGTGACAAGTAACTAACACTGTGACGGTGACAGGCCAATCCTGCAGTTCCTGCAATAGCTGGACCTCCTGAGCCACAGCCAACACCTTGAAGCCAAATTTATCAATGGTGTGCGAGTGTACAAGAGGCATGAACTCCCAGTCCACGCTGCCATCTTCATCAGCAATACGGAGGCTGTATGCATTTACAGGCAGCCTGGAACAAGAAGAAATGCATAGATATAGAAATTCAATGTTGTCAATACAGTATACAGTATCCCAAATAGCATAAGTAATAATGAAGCTAATGAGTGCTAATTAAAGAAATAACCATTCAAACACACATTTTACACAGAAGTTCTATAGGACTCTTTACTTTAAGATAGAAAATATTTTATAATTTTCAAATTCAATTTAGATATCTCAACATGAAAAATTAAATTCAAATTTGTAATACAATCTTATTTTTTCTCTAATTTTGTAATGCCTGAATATTCTCCTGCTAGGAATTAATTTAAATTCTCAGGCAATATCTTGATAGGATAAGTATCTGTGGATGTCCTCAAATAGCCACTACGGTATATGGTGCCAGGCTTCTGACACAAACAAACAAAAAACTGTGACCAATACATAGTACCTATAAGATTACCATAAGCTTGAACTTACTGCAGAGGAGGAGATAAGTTGTCTCGTGTGTAGAGGTAGCAGGTGAGACCAATAACATCTATGACTCGAGCAGCTGTGCTCACTACTACAGGCACAGGGAACTCAGGAGGCGGACCTTCACGACTACTGTACACATAGATGCTAAGGCGTTTTGTGGCTAAGTTGACATCAGTCTGAGGAAATAATTTATGTCAGTTATGATGGAAAGGATTATCTTGATAGAATAGTCAGTATTGGGATGATGGCTTCAGACAAATGGCTTGTTTTCTTTCTTCTCTTATCAAACCAATCACATCTAAGTAACAACATTAAAACAAGTTTATATTTTTGCCACAAAGAGAGAACTATAAAAATTATTAACTCATTGAGTCACTTTAATGAATCAAAAACATTACAACCACTAGTACTAACTAATATTATGAATAGATTCTCAGTATTGCATATTGAATCAAATGATCACTTATATTTGAAAATCTCATGAATATAGTAAAGGTCAACATACAGATGCATCCCACTTGGCATATTCAGAATATGGATTCTGTGCAAGTTTGTCTCCTTCTTCCAAGAGACGTGATAAGAGTGACTGTTGGTGGGCTTGTGGCGGCTTAACTGGCTTTTGACCAAACAATTCCTCTGCTTCACTTTCTGAGATTTAAAAAGGCTTTTAGTGAAATAATAATGGCAAAAATAGGAGAAGCTTGAAATAAAGCTGAAATACATTTTTTTTTTGCAAGGTTCATCATCAGTTGCACTATTTCTGATAGTAACAAAAGAATTTAGAGCAGCTGGCATAGATAAATGTTCTTGGAAACAACTGATGAAAAATAATAAAAACAGATCTGCCAATGATCATGAGTTCAAATTTCTGAACATACCTGAGAGAGGTGCTTCATTTGTTGTCCATGTGATGCGCTGTATTTTACTTTGCAATGTCTTTTCTTTTTTCAATTTTTGAAGTCTATGTTCAGTGTCAGATCGAAATCGGTGACTGATGTAAGCTTGCTCTAGGAAGGCAAAAAATTTACAACAATTACATTCTTGCATATAATTTGATGAAGATGACAAATAATCTATCCATGCTTTATTTAAAACTAAAATTTTAAAACAAAGGCAACTTATCACACAAAAACAAAACAAACGACATTTTTTTAAGGAATTTATTGAAGAAATATAATGCACATAAATGAAATGCCCATCTGTAAAGTTTGAAAGGTTTGTACAGTTGGGTATAATTTTTAAAAATTTATAAGCACATATACATATATGTATTAGCAACTCAAGTTGAAATTCCTGTAACTCACTTGATTTGTGAGTTCTGCATAAATGAATTCTTTGCAGCAATTAAATTTATAATTTGAAGCAAAAACTAACCTGAATGCACATCCAGAGAATGAGGTTGAAACTCTTCATCCTCATTTTTTTGGTTGATCAAGACTGAATCTGAGTACAAGGTAGGATAATCTGTGAGCTTCTCAATGGGCCAGTCTCCTTGCAAGATGATTTCACTCAGACCTGTGGCATAATAGTGCAAGCAATCAATTTTTGAAACAATGAAGAATATAATAAAATGTCATCAAATATCTGGTAGGTACAGTAAAAAAATCCATCCATGACAGTTTGGGGATCTACCCATTTTACATGTATTGGGAATTAAATTTCAGGCAAGAGTCTTGCAATTTTTGTAATTTTGTGAAAAGTATTTAAAAAAAAGTGTTAGGTATATCATATTAGCAACCACTGGTTGGGTCGAAAATTATTGTAGCTCCAGTCTATAATTCACATAATAATATTTTTTACAGTTCACAGCTCCCTTCATACTAAACTGGTAAGGATGAGTCAGGGTCATCAGTGGAATAGTCTGGCATACTATTGTCAAATAGGTACACTGCAGCATTTCAAAGTAATGTGATATTGTACACTGTCAATTCAAATTGCAGATTACTTGTAAGAGGGGAAATTAGCAGAAAGTTAAAATTAATATAACTACCTCAAATTCTCCTGCCAATGTCTTGAGAAGCTTTTTTTTTTTGGTCACAATTTAGATGCATATGTTATGCTGAAAAGATCTATCCTATTTATTAAACAACTTTGGTTTACTAATTGCTTTGCCTATATGGCTAAAGTATTAATATCTATAAACAATATAATTTTACATTTTTTCATGATGCAAAAATCTAACAATATTAGGTATCATATTAGGTATTATCACAACAGTACAGTCTCCCAATGAAAACTGACATTTTATTCTCAAGATCATCAGTGAAAGTAATGAGTTAGGTCTCAGTTTGGTAAAGTGATCCTGATAGCACCATTTAAGTTTTAACTGGAGAAGGCTGCATTTTAGGAATTGCCATTCTTATCCTTAATATCCTAATGTTAGATTGAAAAATTTATACTTATTACTACATTTTTAAGCTCCATGGTGATATTTTTAACCTTGTGGTTTTACCATAAACTCTTGTTAATTAGATAAGAGACAATTCATCTAGTAATAATTTTGTGGCTTAAAAATTCAATAGGGCTCAAACTTGAACTTGAGGAAGAATCTACAAAACTCACTGCTTTTCCACTGTGTCTAGGGCCTCATGCCTATATACCTAACAGGCTAACAGAAAGTTAATCAACTTAAATTATTCAATATTAAAAACAAAAGCGCGTTTTTGCCAGGCGTCAGGCTGCCAGCCATTTTTTAAAATCATCAATCTGTGAAATGTTTATTTTTAGGAGTAGGCTATCTAATACTTTTTTTAAATTCTGTCTAATATTCCAGATAATTTAATTATCAAATTTAAAACTTTGAAAATATAAGTAGGTACCTAAAATCAATAATTTAATAGAATAATCAAAATTTAATAGAGTAATCGAAATATCAAATTTAAATGGAACTTTGAAGAGATTGAGAGCTAAATTCAGTCTTTCAGATAGGCTAAATGGGCAAATGTATAAAAATATAACTCGGTACTCGTCACTACTCACTGCAGTGAGTGACACTGTGACAGAGAGTGTATTTTGTCATCGACGAAAACTTTAGGTCACGGATGGATGGACAGATGGATGGACAGACATGGCAAGCAGTCCCCCTGTCCCCGAGCACAATAGTGAATAGCAGAATAGGTACTAGTGCATTTTTGCCATAAATGAGAAAATGCCCTAAAAATGTAAAATTTTAAACAGACATAAACTATATAGGTAGATTAGAAGCTATGATTACAGTAGCCTAACATGATATGCATATTTTTTTTAATTTAGACAATTGCAAAATCCAGAAATCTGAATAGTAGCTAAATTTAAAGGTGAAATAAAACCAAGAAAAAGGGCAGGAGCAAAATTGTTCTGTTTAGAATTTTTAGTCTTAAATACCTAACACTAACTATAAGAGAGTTGGTAGCAATGGTAGGCTAGGCAGTAGGCAAAATAATTTTTTTTTTTCAGTAAAAATCTGCTGCCTTACCGCTGTCATCGCTGGTAGCATAAGAATTTTGTATGTGCGACAGAAGCCAAGCAGTGTCATCAAAAATTGCCATAATGATTTCAAACACAAAGCGCAATGTTGCTTATAGTTATAGAAACGAACTGAAACACCAGTTTCAAAGTCACCACATTACAGACGACAATCTACAGGATCGACTACTGTAGCCCAACTTCAAGACAGCTTGAAGGCTGTGTAAACCATGGTCCATGGCCACCGTCACTGTTCTGTTCTGTTCTGTTCTTCGATGGATTATCGGAGTGCTGCGCCTTGGACGATTCACTCCGGAAGCAGCTGTTTGTTAACGATTAAGGGTCAAAGCGGTGGGTTGAACTGATGAAGTTTTCAACGGCTCTGCAGGTCTGAAAGAGGGGCCCAAGGGCCAAGGGCATGGGGCCTTGCAAAGGGTTAAGACCGACGCACGGCGGTGGACCGATAAGTACTCACAATAATTCCCTGCCACCATGTGTTGGTAGTCGTCAAAAGTTTATTGTGGAAGAGTCCCATTAGTTGGCACTTGGCAGTCGTTGAAAAAGATAAATGACCTATTATTTTAGCTTGAAAGTCGTTGTAAAGTAAAAAAATTGGTCGATAACTTCAGCGAAAGTCGTTGAAATTCCAACGACTATTGCCACTGTATGAGACCTGGTTTATCACTATTTGGTAGAGCAAGGTCATCAATGAACTTTGACACATTTTTAGATGATCTCACTGGGTGGCATGCACTGTCTCTCTTTGGATCTCAAACATTTTCCCGCCAGACGGCCCAAACCTAGTGTTTTGGCAATAGTTTGGCGCGAAAAGGTATGACGTCACTATTTCAACCATCAACGAATGCGTGGAATTAAAACAAAGCTTAATTAATATAAAGGAAAAACTAGAGAGGTGTCGGAATTACCCACGATGTCAAATATTTCCATGTTTACCCTACCTAACTCCGCGCATGTAAAAAAATTAGTATATCTGTCTTCTGTCATATAGCAGCAGCAAAGCTCAAAGCAGACTGCAGAGAGTTTTTACACTCTTTCTAAAGTTCAATTTTGAGTCCTATAGGCTAATGCTATAAGTAGACCAGAAAAGTATCCTGAATACCTGCAAAGCTGCAATGTCATACAGAAGAATGATAAGATAGGCTATTGGATTTATCTTGAGTAAATGAGGAAATTAAAAATGAACTGATTCTAAAAAATATGTGGTTTGCCAGCCACTATGGTCTGTCATGGAAGAAGTGAAATTTCCACTCATGGTTTCTGGTTCAAAAATTCCTTACACAACGGCTTCAAAATTCCAGTCGCAGTCTGGAGAGAAGACATTTACAACACTAGATTAATGGCATTGACTTTAGCAGAAAATCTCCCAACAAATAAACTTTGAACCTTTTTTCTAGATAAATGCTTAATATAAAAATATATTTCTAAATTGGGAAAAATTCTGAAGATATAGAAATAGAATCACAACTAGTTGGAACTTTAGGAACTGCACAAAAAAATATTTAACGGGAGTTAGCACTTTGCACTAGCCTTAAACTAAAAGCCAGTAGAAGGCAGTCAAGACTCAAGGCACTGAGCCACTGATTAGCTAATCCAATTTCTAATGCCTTGGCTTGACATCAATGGCATGGACAACTCTCTTGCCAGAAAAATAACCATGTGATTCTCTCCTTCGAATAAATTTGAGGAACGCGATGGATAGACAATTTAGTATCAGTCAATCATAAGCTGTTTAAGTTGAATTTACAACCTTAAAGTTACCAGAAACACACACACACACACACCATTAACAGAAATTTATACGTAGGTAGAAAAATTCAGACGTACCACTAAATACATTACAGTAAAGAGCAATAGGTAGGCTAGGTAGCTACACACTACTCACTAATCTTGAATTTGGAAGCAAAACCTTTAATATCCAAAGATCAACAAAGTTACATGCCAATGCCATGCAATTAGGTCCACGGATTACTGAAAACTCAAACAGTCGATAGAAAAATGTTACCATTGATAATCAACTCGTGTGGATCGCGAATTTTCGCGTTCAGCAACATGAAAACGATGTTTTCGTAATAGGTTGTGCATAGTGTGGTCAAGCAATATTTCTCAAAATAAAATCTGCCTAATATTTTCAGGAATGCCTTGTGACGTTCATATAAATATAATCTTAAACTGAAAAATTGAAATGTTTTAAAGCCTCGTTTGTAAATGTATTATAACCACACGAATTGGCGTAAAAAATACCCGTTACATTTAAAGCCTCTGAGAATTAAAACACGTCATAGTCGACATAGATTGTTAGCAAATGATTTAGCTTCACACGACAACGCGCGAAATACGGCCAGAGAGCCAACAGACTATACAGCGCTTATTCTTTTCACCATTATATTAGTTCATCACATTATTGAGTAAATCTATAATATAGATTCAACATTCCACAAACAAAAACTTTCATAATTCGAGTAACATACGGCGACCGCTCACGACATTCGACTCCATTACAGCACGGGCAATTTTGACCGTTCAGCCACATGATAATAGCGGTTTCAGCATTTATTAGGCCGTAGGCCTGTCGCCGATTCTTAACATAGCAGAATATTCACAGCTTGTTGCAGTCTCGAACGCGCTACTCACTGATTCAATTTTGCTTTGCTTTAACCGCCCGGCCTCCTTGCCGACTCCGACCAGAAACTGGCGCACAGAGCTGGGATCGAACCCGCGCCTCTCTGCGCCAATCTTGGTGCTCTGAACTGTAACCACTGGGCCACCCTGCCCATAAACAAGGGCTCATTTGATAATGCTGGAATTACTAGGTCGGCTTCTGGCAATTTTTCGAATATTTTCTTGTCAATATCAGCTTGATGGCTGGGTCATTAGTACATTTTGAGCCGACAGCAATTTGGACGTAGGTACGTTCGGGAAATGCATGGTTTGATATAAGGTTATGTGACGAATAATCGTTCCCTCAGGGTTACTCGCTCGAGTATTTATTGTAACAAAATAGTAGCCATCGGTCCATCAGTAACATACGGCACACTTGCACCGCAGTAAACTAGGAGCAAGAAGGAAACAATCGTAAGAGTTACATCGACTATCATGCAGGACTGAGGAGTGACCTAATATTGTTTCCATTTAGCTAGCTTGATTGTTGGTTTACGATAGTGCTTCGAAACAGAAATGCCTCGACATTAACAAATACAAATAAACTCAAGGACTTTAATTCGTGAAAACCAGTTATTGCAGACATAATAATAACAATAAAGCGCAACAAACACGAAATCGAGTTTTTATTTTCAACTTCATATTAACAGACAAGATTATTTGATTACATAATTTAAAGATACATCATCAACGCACCTCAAGCTCATCGCTTAGTGCTTATATTTTTTTACACACACCAGTCGTCAAAATGGCCGATGGATAATTTTTATCTCTATAGATGACTAGTAAAAACCGTGCACTGTTTAAATTATGCGTTAACTAGTCTACAACTCAAGGAGCAAACGTTTTATCCGCGAATTGCGCCACCATGTTGAAGCTTGTCTGGGAAAATTAGCAACTGCGGAGGTACATAATACAAGTCTGCAGGAAACCTTAACAAGGGTGAATGCGTCTGAAGCTTGTTAAAGCAAACTCATGCTTATGAATTCTATAAATGAACTTCCAGTCGTTTTCCCAGATTACAATCTCCACGAACTCCCTCAGGGGGGACTTCTGACGCGTGTCTGTGCTCGTCAACTGTCCCATGGTATTCCGCGCACCTAGGGGGATTGTTCCTGAGCGCCCCACCGCTGAGCTCGCGATGTCTGACTGCAGATCTCAGTTGTGGGGTTAAGTTATTATGTAGGTAGGATTCCTTACATTTCCCTTCTTTGTCCCTCTCGTGCGGGCAGCCGATGTCCCGTGTGAGCGACCTCTTGCCCCCGATCTCTGCCGCGTCTACGTCGTGGGGGTACCCTGGCCTGCGCGTCGGCCGGATGCCCGGCATGCTCGCGGGCCAGGCCAAACGGCAGAGGCCCCCCCGCCCGGATCGCTACCGGACGGAGGCTCCTTTCTTCATTTTTTCGACCAAGGGTCGGGGAACCTCGCCCTCCCCTTCCCCCTATTCACTTCTTTGGCCGCCTATCTTTCCTGAGGCACACTATGCCCTTCTCTCCTCTCACCTTTTCTTCCTTCTCCTCCTGACCCAGGGTATCCATCCCAACCCTGACCCGGGTATTCATCCCAACCCTGGCCCCGCTGACGACCCCTGCACAGTCTGCTCCCTCCCGGTTACAAAGCGATGTTACTCGTTCTGGTGCTCCACGTGCAACGCCTGGTACCACAAGCGGTGCTCCGGCCTTCGCTCCATCCACCTATACTCCGCAGACTGGACCTGCCCTACGTGCAGACGGTCTGGGGCGAGTAACCCAACCATTAGGGCGAGTAACCCAACCGACCCACGGCTCCCAGATCTCAACCTGGAAATAGGCCTCTCCATACAGGCCCACGCCAGGAACACATGGCAGACACATCTTGCGTCGTGCAGCAGACGAACCAACCAATCCAAACATTGCAATCTCCTCCGCTCCCTAGCCGGAAAGAGGAACCGCCCACCCCACAATCAGCCAATCCAATTTGGTCGGATTTCCCTCTCCTCCCAGCGCAAGATCTCCTCCGCCTTCTGCAAGCTTTTCACTTCGGTCGCTCCTCACTCTCAGAGCCCCTCCACCCGCCGCCTCATTCGTCGAATACGAGCCCAACATCCCCTCGACAGGGACTTCTCCCCTTTTACCCCAGACATGGTGAAGCTTGCCATCGCAGCCGCCAACAACTCTTGCGCTCGGGGTCCCGATGACCTCACGGTGCTTCATCTAAAGCACCTCGGCCCGCGTGGCCTCCAGTTCATCACCCAAATTTTCAACATCTCTGTTTCCACAGCCTCAATCCCATCCATTTGGAAAAATTCTATAATTATTCCAATTCTCAAACCGGGCAAACCCGGAAACCAAGGCTCCTCATACCGCCCTATCTCCCTCCTCTGCCCGGCTGCCAAGATTCTTGAGCGCCTGGTCCTACCATATATCTTGGGATCTCTCACCACCGTCCCCTCGCAACATGGTTTCAAGCCGGGACATTCAACTGTCACCGCCCTCCTCCCGCTCGCACACCAGATCGCGACGGGTTTCAACTCCAGGCGCCCTCCAGCCCGCACAATCGCCGCTGCCGTCGACCTCTCGAAGGCCTTCGACAGCGTCGACCACCTTCCTCCTTCTGAGCATGATCGCGGCCTCGGACCTACATCATAACCTGGTCCGATGGCTGTGCTGCTACCTTAGAGGCAGGCTGGCGTCCTGCCTCTATCTCAGAAACCGACCCCCAACATTGCCTCATATGCGGACGATCTGACCATCTTTGTGTCGTCCCCGAGGCTCGACGCTGCTGAGGCTGAGCTCGCTGCGCTCCTTCGGAACGTATCGGATTGGTCGGCGGCCAAGAAACTGAGCGTGGCCCCTGGCAAATCCTCGGTCACGCTATTCACACCAGACACCCACCAATCGCGATTCCACCCTGCAGCCACTATCTGCAACGGCGTCATCCCCCTGGATAAAACCCCTAAAATCCTGGGCGTCACCTGGGATACGCACTTCACATTCTCCCCTCATGCAAAAGCCATCGCCACGAAAGCGACGGGTTCTCTTCGCATCCTAAAAGCACTAGCTGGTACCAACTGGGGCTTCTCCAAGGAGGACATTATTGCCACCTACCGAGCCATCACACGCCCAATCCTCAACTACGCGGCCCCCATCTGGCACCCTGTTGCCTCACGCACAGCAGTTGCCAGCCTGCAGATAATTCAAAACACTGCATTGAGGCTAGCCACCGGCTGCCTCAAAATGGCCCCGATCTCCCACCTTCACCAGGAGACTGGCGTCCTCCCATTAGCCGCGCATCTGGATCTGGCTTGTGCCCCGTTCCTCGCCAGCGCCCTCCAGCCCTCCCATACCTCATTCCGTATCGTTTCTGCCCCCCGGGTGACCGCCCCATGAAAGCCTCCATCCAGTCGAGGTTCGGTCACCTGGTCACACCTTTCCTGGATAATGGCATGATGCCTGTGGGTGCCAACGGAGAGACCAAGCGGGCCCTCCGCAGGGAGATCGCCTCCCGCGTTGCAGCGACTGACGCCATAAACGCCATACTTGCAGCCCCGCCACCGCCGATCGCATCAGTGGAGACCTCACTCCCCCGCCCCTACCGCTCAGCGCTATCCCAGCTCCATTCGGGATACTGCAGCTCCCTGGCGTCCTATTCCGCCAGGATCGGACGCTCCCCTAGCTCCGCCTGCCCGGAGTGTGGGGATCCCCTCCAGTCAGTCCAGCATCTCTTCGTCTGCCCCGCCTTCCCCACGTCTCTCAGCGTCTCTTCACTGTGGGACAACCCCGTGGAGGCAGCGGCTTTCCTGGCCACCCTCCCTGCCTTCGCCCATCTCCCCCCTCTTCCGGTGCCGGCCCCCCGCCCACCACCAGAGCCTCCCCCCGGCGAGCGTGACGGTCGCAATAAACAACAACAAAAACCTCTTGTTCGAGTGTCTCAGTTTTTGTTGCTTTTCACCTGTCCCTCCTTGTCACTTCGACTCTTTGAGAAGCTTTCGCTGCTTCTCTCGAGCCAGCTTCAGCAGGCAGGACAATTGAGACCTTCCGTCACTTGTGGGTGACGAATGATTTTTTATTTGAGAAACTTTTGATACTGAGACCTTCCACCTCTTGGGTGATGTTCATCTTGACTTTCGGTGCGAGATAGCTAAATAGCTGAAGCGCTAGTAAACATTTGGCCACCAAAACAACTAACTAACTATCTGAACGAAAAGATTTATATTTTGGCTGAGATGGGAAGATAGTCCTAGGTGCTCTGCCTGCCCAATTGAGGAAGCTGGATGGAGCGTATCAAAGAGTAGCGCTGGCGCAGGTTTGTGGACAATAACCTAGACAGCAGGGCAGCAAGACCACGGCCACGTTGCTGACACTACTGCTGTACCAAGACAAAGGTCAGTTGTGTTTTTGATTGAAGCTAGACCGGTTAATTTTCTTTAATCCGGCGATGCTATATCGTCGTCTTGGCTTTTCTTCATCTTTCCTCTTCTTGTGAGAACTGTCTCCCGTTTTGATCTTCTTGACAGCCTCGACCAGCTCAACAGCTACCGCACCACTGCACTCAAAAAGATAATCCTTGAAACGTTGTTCTCCCTGGCAAGTCAGCAACACTTCGCATGGTACCTTCTTCCTCGTCACGTCTCCAGAGCGGTCTTTCCCGGCTGTGGCAAAAGAAGCTTTTCGTGAGGCTCCCCCGCCACTAGATGGTTTGATGTTGCAACAAACAATCTTGTTACTTGGGTATGAGACGGGGTGAGGTGACCTTAACAACGCTCCTGAACTGCCGCCAGACACTGACACGAACACGCCACCGGATGACACGTCTGCCGATATTGCTCGCATCAGCACAAATGTTGGCAATTTCCAAAGCAAAATTAGGCGAGTTTAATAAAATAAATGGGAGTATAACTTAACAACCACAACCAAGAATTGAATAGGTAAATATTTTAAAGAGATAATTCTAATTAACTTCAAAGTATTCCAGTATCTTACCAACATTAGCGTCGAATTTAGCCCATTTCTTGACCCACGTGACGGGGAAAGAAAAGCATTTTGTTCTTTCAACCTCTTCTTCTGGTTGTTCTGCATCCGTGCGAGGATCTCTGTGACCTAGAGTCCAGATAACTAATATTACATTTAGAAAATTTCATATAACATGTATAGTTGACTATGCAAACGGGCAGCATCGCTAATCAAGAATAACCACTCACCGTAACAGAGTTAGTAATTTTAAGCATCGAAATTTTAGTTATGAGGAATATATCATTGAAAACTGGCAAGTGAGAGCAGTAATGTGTCATTAGAAAATGAGACTACTGCGAAATAGAACTGAACTTTTTTTCTGCCAGCATATGAATTCAAAACAAAAAAGAAACACATTCAAGGAAACGGAATTCGCCAGAATTATTGTGAGAGATTTTATTGAACGAAACAATAACGCGGCAACATGTGTATTAAGTAACAGCTACAACCCTCAATTATCTGTAATATTTGGTCCATATTATATTAAGTGGCAAGATGATATGAATTAAATATTCAATAAAATAATTAAAAAACTTTTAAAAAACACGTTTTTCTTGTTGACTAAAAAGTAGAAAATAAATTATGGCTCGCCCCAAAAAAC